GGCGACAGGGTCATGGGTGGCCAAGGCTCATTGATGCATGTGGGAAGTGAAGGCTGATCCATGTAGTCTGATCCAATAGAAGAGGTACTGTAGCTCAGATTGCTGGAAAGGTTAATGCTGGTTCCTAAAGAACGGTACACACAGTGCATTGCAATTTGTTGATAATGTTAAGGTCCATTTAAAACACACTGATTACAAAATGTTACGAGCAAAGCAGCAACAGTCTGTGAGTAGATCCAAATCAGACAAAAGGTTTATTGGTCAGGCCATTCCAACCCCACTCTAGTTTATACAGCTTATCCACACATCAAGGTAAAGATTAAGCTTGCATCATTAGTCAGTTTTAACAAGATTCCAAAATACATCCCGAATCAGCATTATTAGTTCCTCACATACATAGCAAGTGTCTGTGTTTAGATAAACTGCAAAAACTCCTAGAATGGCAAATTGTCTCTCCAATGAATTAAGGTAACAGCAGGGGCACCCCGAGGCTGGGTGACACCCGGAGCGGTAACCGAGTGTCACCCTGCCGAGACGTCACTGCGCATGCGCGTGACGTCACCACGCGCGTGCGTATTCTGATACCTGCCGGCGGCCATCATGGTGATGGACGCCGGCAGAGAGAGGAGGGAACAGTCACCTGGCGGGATAAGGTATGCCGCCGGGTCCCCTCCTCTCTCCTGATACTGTCGGGCGTTCGGTCCATGACCGAGCGCCCGACTTTTCGGAGGGGGGGGACACCAAAATGACTGAGTCATTTTGGTGTCACCCCTCCAATGGTGTCACCCGGGTGCGGGCCGCAACCCCCGCACCCCCTTGTGACGCCACTGGGTAACAGCCTGCCCCTTCTCAGAAGGATGACTTGCAACTTTGTCTCATGAACAAGTGACAAAACGTGTTTAAGTATATATAAAATGTTTTAGGCCCCATTCACACACGAATCGGCCGGCACGTACAGCTCCGTGCTGCGTGCGGGGCCGTACCAAGCAGCTGCCGGGAAGGACAGGTGCTGCGTGTGATTAGTACGCAGCCCCCGTCCTTTTCTATGGGACTACGCGGCCGTACGCCCCCCTACACTCACCTCAATTGCAGGTTTTCTGGCCGGACGCATACAGGATCCACTCCAGCGGCGTATGAATACGCTCACCCACACCCCTTAGGACCTGCAATTGAGGTGAGCGCAGGGGGGCGTACGGCCGCGTAGCCCCATAGAGAAGGACAGGGGCTGCGTACTAATCACACGCAGCACCTGTCCTTCCCGGCAGCTGCTTGGTACGGCCCCGCACGCAGCACGGAGCTGTACGTGCCGGCCGATTCGTGTGTGAATGGGGCCTTAGTGTCTCTAACTGTATTTAATAGTATGTGTGTTTTCTTTATTATAATATACATCTAGAATATGATCGTATAGTGGAATATCTTTAAACTGTCATTTTAGAAGTCATTTACTTCTGGTAGTGTGCCTTATCATATACCGTATTTACTAAACAGTCTCACTTATGAGATACATTCCATAATATGTTTCATTAAGCATAAGATCAAACTGATTGACAAAATGGAATCTAAAAATGTGATTCAACAGGGATGATCAATTCTCTCTACACAACACACACACATTACAAACATCAAATCCATCTTGAGTCCACTCTTTGTGAGTCTTGAGTCCAGCCTTTGTAAGTCTTGAGTCCAGCCTTTGTAAGTTCAAAATCAATGCATTTTATTATTTTTTTTAAACATGATCAGAGGCAAATAAACATCACTATTGGTCCATATCTGCATTGCTCAATTATAGATTTGTCCCACCCCTATCACCTCAATTAACCAATTGTTCCTTCTTCATTGTAATGGCTGCACTCACTGACTAATATAAAGGCAGGAGGAGGCACACATAAGCTTTGTTTTACAAATAAAGTCACGATTTGAATATTTATTTAGCTGCCTAAAGTGTATATCTGAATTTCCTAGTCACTGCTGACATGGAGTTTCCCCTGAAGGTAATTTCTGCTTATGCGAAGACACACAGGTTAGTGACAGGTTCACTTTAATAATCTCTGGCTTCCATGTAGATTGCCTTCTAAACAAGTGGAAAAGAAACTCTTATTTTGACAGCCATCCATATGATGAAACTTACAGCACTCTTCTGTTATTTGATTGGTTTTAAGCTGCTCTTCAGCAGGGACAACCAATCCTAAACAGTGAGAGCAAAAGATATTCTGAAAACTGTACTATGGAGATGATGGCTAAGGGGACACTTAAGGTGACTCTGTCGATTAAAAGAAAGTCCGCCTGTAAATTATGTTAATAATACTTACCAGTCCTGCTGCCCATGACTTCAGTCTTTACACTGACCACCAGGACCTTCAGTATCTGATTTGACACTCAGGTGTTTAAGATGTCTGCATCCCCTGCTGCATGCTATGGTTTCACCTGCCAGCCACTGGACACACTACTGAGATAGCAGCCGATGGGTGGAACCACAGTGAGCAGTAGGGGACGCAGACATCCAATACACCCAAAATGTGCTCCTAGCAGTAGGTGTGGATCTACAAGAGAGAAAAGACTGGCATCATGGACGGCAGGACTGGTAAGTATTCATGTATTTTTACTTGCTTTTAGTTTCCAGTGACAACTTGAAAAGAAGCATGGAAGCAAGACTTTTTTTTTTACACAGAATCACACTGAATATGATGAAGACATAACGTACTTTGGACTTGTTTTGTATTCTCTGAGTTAATTTTTACATCGATTCCCAGAATGTTGAAATTATTCAAGCATTCAACGTTTTCAAACGTTGTATATTTAAAATGTGCAAAAATCACAACACTTTGCACCACTTAATCCCAGAATTCCTCTCTAAAATAGCATATCAATTACCAGGAGGTTAAATAGCACAATTCAAGCATTTATCAAGAGCATACCTCCCAACTTTCTGACACGAGGAAGAGGAAAAACCTTCCAGCACAATGTTTTTAGGCAATGAACACACCCCATTTATGTGAACAATTAAGCATTGTTATGGCAGAAATGATTGGTTAAACCCCAAAGTATTTTTTCACTATTATGTTTCCTTTATAATGTTTTTTTTTTTAAATAGTAAACAAGATAATGAAGAAATAAGATGAAGGTTTTAGTGCAGCTTAACACTTTTGGTAGTTAACTTTTGCATAGTTATCTGTACATCAGACCAAAAGAGGGACTACTGGGGATGAAAGAAGAACAGAGGGATGTTGATCCAAATGAGAGATAATTGGGAGGTATGATTCTGGAGAATGTACAGTATATAACAGAATTATTAAGAAAATCACCTTTCGCAAAATAGGATCAATACACAATTAATGAAGATAAGATCAAAATAAGATCAACTAATTACAGAATTTTAATGTTATTATTATTATTATACAGAATTTATATAGCGCCAACAGTTTGCGCAGCGCTTTACAATATGAGTGCAGATGCCAGCGTTATCAGAATTGTATGGAGTACATAGCACCTAAAAGCCAGGTACCCTGTTGCAGTTCTAGCTAGGGGCATTTTATCAATCCTCGACCAGAAGTTGCAGCACTGCTTGTCCCCTATGGTGTGTCTCTGCCCCCTGCAATTGTATTGTTAGGTTTTGCCACTTTTAGGTTTTTCCTGCACCAATTGAATAGATGGCAATCTATCCTCTATCTCAGTAGTCATGAGGGCTGCCACTTTTCCTGTAGGAAAAAAACAACTATGATAGGTGTGTTTTGATTGTTTATCTTGCCAACAGGGAAAAGAGCAGGTGTTCACTTTCTTTTTCCAAAATTAAAAGAATAGGTTTGGACTTTAGATATACTTTCATTTTAAAAACCAGAACATGTCACTCTGGGTACCTGTCACACTGATCTAAAGGTCTCCCAAATTACCATAATGCACTAGTTTTAATTAAAATGGGCACCCGTTTCAGCAGGTAATTTACAGATGGCGTGAAAAATTTTGGACCGGGGTGTCCAACAAGTGTGCTATAAGGAAACAAAAAATTCCCACCATCACCCCCACCACCACTCCATCCGCGTCACCGCAATCTGATGGGTACAAGCGAATGCTCACCCAGCCTCAGGTGAGTAAATCACCAACGCTTACACCCTGCTCTACCACATTTATTGCGCCAGGTAGTGGCGCTTCCGTCTCCAATTTACAGATGGCACCTAATGTTATAGAAAGCACCACAGGAGACAGACAGCACCTTAACTCTAAGCTGAGAATCAGGAAATGGGCTCTGCACCAGAGCAGATGAACGCATCTGGCTTTTATTCATATGTTATAACCCTTTTTATAACTTTAAAATAATTATTTTCTTTAAACAACTCAAACAATGTGGTAAAGAGATGTCAAAGACGATTTCTGCTCAGTACTACTTGTACATAAAATGATCATATATAAAAAAAAGCCTACTGTGGAATACCAGCCAAATCATAATTTTTGTGCTTTTGGATAGAGTGGAGAAGAATCACACCCTCAGTCGGGTTCATATTGCTGTCTGTGCCCCCATTGGAACAGATTTCCACTTTCAGTTATCCAAACAGAAAGTGGGGACGGGGGGTGGGGGTGGGCATTGAGGACCCAGACAGCAATACAAAACTAGAAAACACATTTGGCTAAAGTGAAACCTAAAGAGAAAATGAGTATGGTGCCCTCATGTCTCTAAGTACATATGCAGAAATTGTAATTGTAATCCTGCACCTTGTGACGCCTTCTCTTAAACATCCAGGAAGAAAAGCTATGGTATGCTGAAAGCACAGACCCACTTTGCTAGGGTGTTGTTTGCTAGAAAGCAATAAACTGGCATTTTAACAGCAAACATTCTAAAAGAACCACCTGCCTTTTCACCAGAGATGCTCTTTAATGACCCAACATACTGTTTATGTCTGACCTCTAAGTCTTAGAAACCCATCACAGCAATAGCTATGTCCTAGCCTTTTTCCAAAAGACCTAAAAGCCCATTACTAACATTATGAATATTGACTTTACGTTCAGAGGCACTTAGCAAATGCATTATATTTCCTCTTGGGAGACAATGTGCGCAATCAATATACCTCTGTATCTGCGGTTTTTGTGCTCTACAGACCAGAATTAAATCCTGCTGTGAATACCTAGTTGTAGTTTTATAGTGCAAATAGGAAAATATGACTACTGGTCTTTGGCTTTTGTTGTTTTCACCAGTCTTAGCTTCCTTAATAACCGGTTAACCCTCTTTATCAAAACTGCTTCATATTTAGACATGATGTTGTCTTCGATAAGAAGATCCTTTTCCAGATCTTTTTGTTTCGGCTCTCGATAATGGCACAGTTTAGCAATATCACCAGGGACCTCGTATTGTTCTCCTACGAATTCTAGAGGAACGTGAACAGAGGTCTGTACAACACTCCTGGGATTCAGTATCATCTTCGTTGGATTGATTTCACTGGGCCTGTTGGGCTCCCGATAGACATGCTCGACAATGTTGAGTCCCGGAACAGAGGCCCAATCAGATGGTGTTAAAGGATTAGTCTTGTCTCGTATTGTAGTGGGGAAGACGTAATTTTTAAAGAGGAAGACACTTGTGGTTGGATCAATCTTCAAAAGAGTGTCAATCATTTCTGGCCAGTCTTTGTGCATGATGGGTAAAATTAACTCATCTATGTCATTTAGTGCAATATATTTGGTTCTGTACCTGTTTCGATAAATACAGTCGTTTAAAGCTGCAGTTTGGCCATAGTAATGGAGATCTCCTGGATGCTCAGGGTAATGCCAACCAGCAGAAACGTTTAAAAAAGAGGTGATTGGCCACGGAACGAGTTCTACCAATTCTAATTTGTTGTAGTAGGACAGAACTTTTTTCATGAGTAAGCTGGAATCTGAGTGATAAATAACCACTTTCTTGGCCCCCAGTATTTGGTACATTTCCATGGACTGGATAAACTGCAAAATGTTGTTGTATGAGCCAAACATGGTGGAAACACAAACAAGAAAATCATACTGAAATTTGGTAGGTATCTCTGTGCTTTGGATTTTTAGAAAAGTTGGTGAAGACTCATCCGTTCGGTAGACAGAAACATACTCTGGGATCCTCTCATCAGGTAGCCTGCAGAGAAGGTCTGTGGTCCCATAGGGAAAATCAAAGTGGTCAGTATGAATCTGAAGCTCCACAGGGGCTGTATTATTATCTCCTGTTAAACAGAAGTCACAAAGCAACACATCCTGTTCATACCGGTTGGTGATTCCTAAAATGCGGACTGTTCTGCTGCTTCGTGAGTCTAAGTAGGCTGCGATCAGGTACGTTCTGCTGTTCTTGACCTTGACAATTGTGTCCTGAGTCACGTTTTGGCTACATAATGGTTCTTCTGATTCTGTCCATCTCAGAAGCGGGAGACTAGGGGTGCTGCCAGGCAAAACAAGTTTCATCAACGCCACAATGTAGATCAAATACAATACTGTGAACATGAAGAAAACAACAGAGAAAACTTTGCAAAATTTCTTGATGGAGACACATGGCTTCATTCCTGGCTGAAGGACGAGACTAGACACATCACCTTCTCTATGCCATGAAATATGCAGAATCTAAAGGAAGAACGAAAAAAGCAGAATGAGTACATTTCTAGACTTCAAAGATTCTTCCCCTCTGTCTCCCATGATATATGGCTATCTGTTTGGTCACTGACAAATGCTCAGGCTATGTGCTACCCAGTCACCTCCTGCAGTAAAAGAGACCTTTAAAGCTTGAATATTTAAAATGTAACCTGACAGCAGATAGGTGGAGACTAAAGGACCTTCTCAGTCATTCAGTGAAACAACCCCCACAGAACATTTCTGGTATGAGTGTGCTACATAAACCTCTAGCCCAAATCATCCAAGTAACCCTGCCCATTCCTATACCCTGACATTATTCTCGGAAATGCTGCCTTTATTTTGCCGAGTACTTCCTCCTCTGTCCCCAAACTTCTCCATCTGTCCTTACTAATTCTCCTTACTTCAATAGTCCTCTTCCCGTAGTCTGTCAAAAAACATTTTGTTTAATAATTTAATACAAAATGTGTAACAACTGCAATAGGAACAGAGACTGCAGTTAAAAGCTGATAAGGGTTCTTGTCGTTCCCTAACTACTAAAAATAGCTTATGTATTTCTGTCTGTGTTACTGTTGCATATTTTCCTCAACCTCCTGTTTGGTATAACTGTTGTCGCTGGAACAATACGTGAGGGGAAATTTCTCTAACGGAGCCCTGGATAGCATTAAAAACCTGACAGGTTCTAATTCTTCCACCACTCTATCCAAATCTAAAAAAAAAGAGATTCTGGCTGGACATATACTTAACTATTTTTCTAAAACATTCAAAATAAGCAAGGCTTTGGCCATCAGGGTAAAATGCTTCCATGTGACAGCACAGAGCGAGAGATTGTTAAGTTAAGGAGTGCAAAGGCTTTGATAAGTCTTTAAGTTAAACGCCACATATGGTACTCCTTGACAGGCTGTTATTATAAGCTGGAGAGCCTCAGTCCCTGGAATTTAGTCTTAGCTGTGTTACAATTGGTGCCAAACTTTCCATCTCTTACATAAATAAAAGAAATTGAAACAAGTACTGTACAATTCTGCAAGCTAAGAATACTATATTTATTTTAGTAACTGTACACCAAATGTAATTAAATATGAATAAAAAGAATAATTATATATATAT